CTTGAAGATAAGATTGCAATTTTGGAAGCTGGACAATATGAGATTAAGTCATGGATGGCCAAGCAAGACCAGAAATCTGAAGACATGGCACAATGGATGTCCAAGCAAGATCAGAAGAATAACAACATGGCTAAGTGGATGACAAAGCAAGAGGAGTCTTCATCTGAGATCACTCACCTGTTGAAGATGATTTTGTCCAAGCAAACCTAGTTTATGTTTTTCTGTATCTGATGTTTGTGCACATGTACTTGAATGTTTATATGATGTTTTGTTTGTTTTGAATATGAATGAATGACTCTGAGTTTTCTCTACATGATTTCTCTTTTATGTAATTCCTTTTATTTGTCTTTTAAAAGTTTTACTTTTTGATTATGACAAAAAAGGGGGAGAAAATGGATCTGACTGTTCATATAAACTCTACCTAAATGAAATTTCAGACATATCAATTATAACTAACGTAAACTCTTAAGGTTTCAGAACGTTTGATAAATCTGACATATTCTTTAAAAGTAACTCTGAGACTCTCAGATCATATTTAACCTATCAGACTCTGATTCTGAAACATGCACCCAAAGTCAAGATCTAATTTTTGGAACAATCAGGCTCGGATTCTGAAAAGAATACTCATGCAAAAAGGGAAGTTTCTATTCCTTCTAAGTATTCAATTCAGGGGGAGATTCATAATCTCAGAAGGAGTTATAATTATATTTCAATTGGACAAAATTCCTTATGTTTTTGTCATCATCAAAAAGGGGGAGATTGTTAGAACACAGATTGGTTCTTAATAATATCTCTATGTTTTGATGATAACTCTTATGAAATTTTGTATTCAAGAATTATATACTCTAAAATTTGTTTAAGAATGTTTGCTGCAGATATTAAAGTGAATATCATTCTGGAAGCAAATTAGATCTGAACATGAAAAATATGCAAGGCTCTAAAGCGTCAGAAGCATCTGTTAGAAGATTCTGAACGCTGCTTCCAGAAGATTCTGAGTTCTGCGTACAGAAGGATCTGAAGCAGAAGCTATAGAAGAATCTGAAGCAAAAGCCAGAAGCATCTGAAGCATTGAAGTATTCTGTATGAAGAGTTTCAAGCACAATTATTTCAGAAGACTCTGATAGTATTAACGCTGCCAGTACTGAGGATTTGATCCCAAACTCTGCTCTGAACAATTTCACGCTGAAAGCACACATGCTGCAAAGACTCTGATTCAGCAAACTCTGATGAACATCAGAAGGCTCTGATCAATCCAAACTCTGATGATACTTGCTGAAACTTGTTGAAGAAGAATTCAAAGTTATGTCCGTTGGAATGACCAAACGACTCTTTCCTCATTTATGCTAGACACAAGAACACAGACAAAGAGGATTTTTCTGTGCATTCTACTTCTATGAAAGGTCATGTGATGTGAAGACAAAGAGGCTCAGACCCTTTTAGTACACAACCTTCAACGTGAAAAGACTTCTTGGACCTCTGTGCCTATAAAAGCATGACTCCATTCATCTTCTTCAGTTGACAAAATACTTGAAAGAATTCATTACAAAGCTCTCATACAACTTATACTCATTTGCTGAATTTATTTCATTGTTCTTAATCTTAAGTGAAAAATCACAGTTGTGATAAATCTTTATTAGAAGCAAATTAAACACTTGTATTATTATTACATTTGATTGTAAAGAACCTTAAGAAGATCCAGTTAGGATCAGTAGTTCTTGAGAAGACTTTGAACAATTATTCTTAGTGCTTACTATTGTAATCAATTGATTTAATAGTGGATTAAATCCTTGTTTGAGAAAGATAAATCACTCTTGATAGGGTGGACTAGAGTAGTTGAGTTCAACGAACCAGGATAAAAATCCTTGAGTTTTTATTACTAAGTTTTTCTACATACTTATTCAACCCCCCCCCCCCCCCCCCCCTTCTAAGTATTTCCTCACCTTCATAAGTTGCTCAATAGTCATGGCCTTTAAATCCTTATTTTCTTCAATGTTGGTAACAATGAAGTCAAAACTTGGATTTATATTTCTACCTAAATGAAATTTCAGACATATCAATTATAACTAACGTAAACTCTTAAGGTTTCAGAACGTTTGATAAATCTGACATATTCTTTAAAAGTAACTCTGAGACTCTCAGATCATATTTAACCTATCAGACTCTGATTCTGAAACATGCACCCAAAGTCAAGATCTAATTTTTGGAACAATCAGGCTCGGATTCTGAAAAGAATACTCATGCAAAAAGGGAAGTTTCTATTCCTTCTAAGTATTCAATTCAGGGGGAGATTCATAATCTCAGAAGGAGTTATAATTATATTTTAATTGAACAAAATTCCTTATGTTTTTTTCATCATCAAAAAGGGGGAGATTGTTAGAACACAGATTGATTCTTAATAATATCTCTATGTTTTGATGATAACTCTTATGAAATTTTGTATTCAAGAATTATATACTCTAAAATTTGTTTAAGAATGTTTGCTGCAGATATTAAAGTGAATATCATTCTGTAAGCAAATTAGATCTGAACATGAAAAATATGCAAGACTCTAAAGCGTCAGAAGCATTTGTTAGAAGATTCTAAATGCTGCCTCCAGAAGATTCTGAGTTCTGCGTACAAAAGGATCTGAAGCAGAAGCTACAGAAGAATCTGAAGCAGAAGCCAGAAGCATCTGAAGCATTGAAGTATTCTGTATGAAGAGTTTCAAGCACAGTTATTTCAGAAGACTCTGATAGTACTAACGCTGCCAGTACTGAGGATCTGATCCCAAACTCTGCTCTGAACAATTTCACGCTGAAAGCACACATGCTGCAAAGACTCTGATTCAGCAAACTCTGATGAGCATCAGAAGGCTCTAATCAATCCAAACTCTGATGATACTTGCTGAAACTTGTTGAAGAAGAATTCAAAGTTATGTTCGTTGGAATGACCAAACGACTATTTCCTCATTTATGCTAGACACAAGAACACAGACAAAGAGGATTTTTCTGTGCATTCTACTTCTAGGAAAGGTCTTGTGATGTGAAGACAAAAAGGCTCAGACCTTTTTAGTACACAACCTTCAACGTGAAAAGACTTCTTGGACCTCTGTGCCTATAAAAGCATGACTCCATTCATCTTCTTCAGTTGACAAAATACTTGAAAGAATTCATTACAAAGCTCTCATACAACTTATACTCATTTGCTGAATTTATTTCATTGTTCTTAATCTTAAGTGAAAAATCACAGTTGTGATAAAGCTTTATTAGAAGCAAATTAAACACTTGTATTATTATTACATTTGATTGTAAAGAACCTTAAGAAGATCCAGTTAGGATCAGTAGTTCTTGAGAAGACTTTGAACAATTGTTCTTAGTGTTTACTATTGTAATCAGTTGATTTAATAGTGGATTAAGTCCTTGTTTGAGAAAGGCAAATCACTATTGATAGGGTGGACTGGTGTAGTTGAGTTCAACGAACCAAGATAAAAATCCTTGAGTTTTTATTACTAAGTTTTTCTACATACTTATTCAACCCCCCCCCCCTTCTAAGTATTTTCTCACCTTCATAAGTTGCTCAATAGTCATGGCCTTTAAATCCTTATTTTCTTCAATGTTGGTAACAATGAAGTCAAAACTTGGATTTAAAGTGCGAAGTATTTTCTCCATGACTTTCACCTCATCAACATCTTTACCATTTCTTTTAAGTTGATTGACTACGGACAATACTCGAGAAAAATAATTAGAAATTGACTCAGACTCTTCCATAAATAAATGTTCAAACTCACGTCTAAGAGTTTGAAGACGAATCTTTTTCACCTGCTCCACTCCTTTGTTGCAAGTTTGAAGCTTGTCGCATGCTTCTTTGGTAGTCATTGAATTGGAGATCTTCTCAAATGTATCTTCATCCACCGATTGATAAATGAGAAAGAGAGCTTTCTTGTCTCTCTTTCTTGACTCCTTTAATGTCTCATTTACACCTTGGTTTAGCGAGGCTTCAGCTTGTTCCTTGAAGCCTTTCTCAACGATATCCCACACATCTTGAGCTCCTAGTAGCGCCTTTATCTTGATACTTCAATTATCATAGTTGTTCTTTGTGAGCATCGACATTTGAAAAGGGAAACCTCCATTCGCCGTCTTTTGAGGACCTTCAAGCTCTGATGTCACTTTGTGGGAAATAAAGTCTTTTGAATTTAGTGAAAGTGTGTGGGAATATTAGATGCCCAAAAAGCCAAATAATATGTTTAGGCTCAAATCAAGTTTAATCTTTCAACAAGGATTATTTTGCTTCAACCAAAACATTCACTTTGTAAAATGCATAATTCTTGGACTTCTTTTTTCTTCTAAGTTATTACTTATGTTCACATGCTCTTCCATTTTAGTGTGTGATTGAAGTGAAAGAGAAACATATTAACCATATTTGTGGTTTATTTTTGTAACCATTGACGTTAGAGAGCATTGACATTACTCTCTAATAATAATACATGAACACAAGTTGGTTAGAATATAATCCTAAAATATTCTGGTTAGAAATAATTTAAGTGTTTATAAAGCTAATAAACACATCTTAAAACATAATATATATAATGGGCTTTGGTTGTTAAGGAATGAATTTAAGCCCAAACACTCTAATCTCAATCATCAATATCACGACTACAAAAATAAAAGGATCAAAAAAATTCAAAAACCATCAAAATTAAAAGATCAATTGTAAAAAAAAATTACATTTAAACCTATTTTTTTCAAAACTAGTGAATAACAACAAAATTAACCGAAAAGGAAAAAAGAGAATGATATTTAAAAAATGAAAATTGAAAAAACGTGCAATCTGGATTTTGAAGATAGATAATCAACCAATAAAAAGCTAAGATTGATCCACGTGTCAAGCACTGAAAACCAGTGTCCCAAAACACATTACAGTGTGGATAACAAGCAGGTTTGTTCTCAAATTCAATCTAAACAAGAAAGGATAACAGAAAAAAAGGAGTGAGAGAGAAAAAGAAGGAATTTGGAGAGATAATAATGGCAATGGCAGCAAGCACAAGCACAGTGTTAGTTCCTCCTCTCCCTCGGCTACTGACCACCACCACTCGCTGCTCCGCTTTGCCTTATCTCCCTCCTCCTCGCCTCTCCACCACCACTCTCTCTTCTTCCCCTTTCCCAAAACAGTTTTCAGGTATTCTTTCTCTGTACTCCTTCAATTTCATTCTATTGTAACTCTTAATGTGCATATGATTCGTTTTTGTTTATCTATTTCTTTTCAATTCTAAGTTATTTTCTTGTTTCCTCCTATTTAGAGTCGCGGAAATTTTCCCTGCATCAGACTAGAGCTTCTTCTTCTGATGATACATCCACTTCTCTCGATACCAATGAGTTGTTTACTGATTTGAAAGAGAAGGCAAGAAGCTTATATAATTTGCTGATTTCAATAATTTAGCTTCATGTTGAATATTTATTTTCCGTCAAATCCATAATGTTCCATTTCCTATTCTAAATAAGAAACACAAACTGCACATGACACTAACACATTGGAGTCATGTTGATACTGGATACGCCTTTAATTTGAAGTGTTGGTGCTAACCCTAATGTCTTTTTACAGTTTTACTAACAAAGTAGAAATTATATCTTCCTGCATTTTTCATTATCAGTGGGATGGTCTTGAAAACAAGTCCACAGTGCTTCTGTATGGTGGTGGTGGTTTAGTTGCTGTTTGGTTATCCTCAATTCTTGTAGGTGCCATCAACTCAGTCCCTTTGGTAAGCCAGAATTCAGTTCTTTTTCATTGAGTATGATCAAATGCAATGCTTCGGTTTTCTGCTCTACAAGGCATTTTAAAGTTCGAACCAATATGAAACAACTTTATTTGTTTTCCAGCTTCCAAAGGTTATGGAGTTGGTAGGACTAGGGTACACTGGATGGTTTGTCTACCGGTACCTTCTGTTTAAGGTATGCCAAATGCATATTCATTCATTGTTATGTTGTTTTCTGAAAAATTAGAAATTGAAGAAATTCAAAAGTTGCATGATTATCAATGAATTCAACTCGTAAAATATATGTAATTGCCATTTTGTATGTATATTGCTTAGGTTCCAAACATAAATTTCTCGCATTTTATGACAGACCATATTAGAATGTCTATGTGTACTTGCCTCGGATATCGGATACCAGATATCCTGTTTCCTGCAATCAGAATCTGACTCTTTGTTCTATTGATATAACTGTTTTTCTGTACAGTCTAGCAGAAAGGAACTAGCTACGGATATTGAGGCACTGAAAAAGAAAATTGCTGGAACGGAATAGAACTGTATTAGTAGCAAGTCAAGTTGATGTTCCTTGCTCATCATTTGTTTGTTTTGCTGTATGTCTTGTTATATGAGAGGCATTTGTATCCCTTCTTGATATAGAATAGAATTTGCTCAATCTCTATCAGTATCAACCTGTATTAATCCATTTCATTGTTGAAAATAATGCAGCAAATCTTATATATATATGCTTATGATTCTGATTGAAAACGATATTCATATTTTTACTTGTGAGACACATTGCAACCACAAGGGGTTAGCTGCCAAATGCAATGCTGGTGTGTAGTAAATTCCAAATTGGTTCTTAGTATAAAATATCATCTGACAATCTTGTAAATATTTTTTAATCCTGAGATTTTACTTCTAAAAAACATATATTTTAATCGTTTGAATTTATTTTTCATTACCTTTACTTTTTTTAAATTTAGTTATTGCCATTTACCAACATGACGCAATCTTAATATCATATGTTAAATTTAATAATTTTTTCAAAATGTAATTTGGATGATTTGATAGATTGATGATTTTTCAGTAAAATTTCTTTACCCTTGACGGTATATGTCCTTTAAACTCTTCTATTACTACTTTTTTGAAATTTGAAATCTCACCGAAATCTTGGGAGTACATTCTTAGATCTCAAACATTCTTTACATTATTAGACAAACTAGATAAATAGATAAGAAAACAATGATGTTGACATGAATCAACCTATTGGTTGAAGATCACAGTGTTGTTGAAATGGAAAAGGAGGATCAAAATATGATCCATTAAGAATAGCATCTGTTATAAGCTTGTTTGCAGCATCTGTGGTATGTATCCCATCCCAACTCACATACTTGTAAGGGTCATCACATGCTGTTGCTGTCACTTTTTTTCCATCTATCTCTTTAGTATCTCCACAATAAACTTTTGGATTGAAGTTGTACTCACCACCTCCATATCCACAACACGCTTTTGTACCATACTCAAGTCCTGTTTCAAATAATCCAAAAACATAAAAATCAAACACAAAGGCACATCAACATGTGTCTGATGTCAGATGTTAGACACTGACACATACATATTAAATCAGACATCAGGCACAAACACGTGACATGTCTTCTATCATAAGTGTCACTAACACGATATAATTTTCAGTAGCTAAAATATGTATCATAAAAAACTATAACAAGGTTGAGAGATGAGTGTTTGAACCATGAGAAGAAGGATGTTGGAAGAGCTCTAACAGAACAGTGTAGGTATCCACATAAACGACAGAAGCATCTGATAAATTTTCTCTAGTTTGTTTCAGTGACTCTTTCAACATGTTGTTATAGTCCACAACAGCATTGTTGTAAGAAACCATGCATCCAAATTCATCAAGGTCTGTACTATTATGAGGAAGCTCTACCAAGAATGAAGGGTAGCACCCTACTGGTGCAAGATTAAGCACCATAAACGTTCTCCCACCAAGATTATACAGCTCCTACAAATTTCATTGAGCAAAATTCCAAGTTAATAACATTTATTTGTTTCATCTCGCAAAATCAATTTTCGTCACCACAGAATATGTTGGTGTCGAGTCTCGTGATTAACTAACAATTGACATAAGTTACTCTTACTTTAATGGTTGAAGCAATTTGTGAAACAACTTGAGGGAGAAACTCTTCCACTCCACCTGTGCCAATGTCTGCTAGCTTGGAAGTGAAATCATTTTGGCCAATATAAAATGTATATAGAGATTTTCCAAAAATATCTGGTGAAGGAAGTTTCGTATCTGAACAACAATAAAAAATATCAGCGCGTTACAACAGAATCATATGCAATTTTTTCACATCATTTCAAAACTATTGGTGACAGTTATACCATCTTTTTGTTGGTGACAGTTATACCATCTTTTTGTACCTTTTTGATCAGCTTCTTTAACTTTGGCGACGAACTGCTTCATCTGGTTGAGCTGAATAGCAAGGAAGAAAGGACTGATTCCTGAGAAGAGCAAAGAATTGTTCGGAAGAAGCACAGTGGACGCCAATGTAGCATAGTTTGCTCCATGTTTAAAATCAGATCCAATTGATTGTAGATACGGACTCAAAAACGGAATTCCAATAGCTTGAGCTGCAAAATCAAATCAACAAAAATGTTTGGTTGTTTAAGCGGCACGAACGTGCACCTAAACGGCACGAATTATGGCTCATGTCCACAATCACAGGGAATGATATCATATGAAATACATTTTGATTGGTAGTATTACCTAAGAAATCAATGATGAGTCTGCCATCTGAAGCCCGACCAACTGGCTTCTTGAAATAAGTCATTCCAAAGGGAGGAGTTTCAGCAGGAAAAGCTGCAAAAAATCCACCAGTATCTGAATTTGAATCTCCAAAGTTAAAGATGGCTTTGAATTCACATTCACCATTACTCAAACCAACCAACCAAGTCAAAATGAACAACAGCAGCATAGTATTCATCAATGTCTTTGAACTCATTTTTTGAAGCTTAAAATCTCTGAAGTGAAAATTTATTAATGATTGATCAAATGGCAAATATTGCGTGTACTGTTTTAGACAAAACACTCTTTTGTTTGAGATAAGGTTGGCTACACGTTTATGTGTTTAAGAGTTGTGTTCGGTTTTATTCTATTAGTACTCATTAAATATTGAAAGTAATTGTTGGATTTATTGCATTTAATATTATAATTTGTCAGTCATGATTTAGCTATCATTGGCAATTAATGTTAAAAATCTCTATCTTGCATATATTGAAATATTTTAAATTAATAAATTAATTCAAATGATTTTTTTCATAAAATATTACTTAAAAAGTTTATTTGGTACATAGAATAAAAGATAAAGTATGATATCAATATCATATTCGGTTTGAATCTAGTATTTGATGACACAACAAGATATGATAAATTATTGTAAAACTTATCCTATCAAATTATAAGTTAAAGTTTTATCTTAAATACGAATTGGATTAGAATCTGGCAGGAAAAATAAAAAAATAATTTACAAATTTACCCTTACTAAATATAATTTAAATTAAAAGATTAAATATGATAAAATATAAATAAAGGTTAATTTGATATTAAATTAAATAATGTTATTAAATAATTTTTTAAAAATTATGTATGATTTTGTCTGTAACTTTATATAATATAAAAAATTGAAATCTAATAAGTTAAAAGTATTAAAAATAAAATAGTTAGTATAATTTTAAAAATATAAATATAAATATTTTTTTTTATCAAATTAAATATATTTTTTTGTAAGGGTAGTTTTGTCGTTTACATATTTTATATATATATATATATATATATATATATATATATATATATATATATATATATATATTAATAATTTTATATAATATAAAAAAAACTCATTGACACTATTGAGTAAACAATTTTAATTTCTCTTAAAAAAGATCATGAGTTATATTATATTATATATATATATATATATATATATATATATATATATATATATATATATATATATATATATATATATATATATATATATATATATATATATATATATATATATATATATATATATATATATATATATATATATATGTTATATTTGCTATTATGTGTGAATAAAATATATAATAGGATAAATTTTATCATGTCTATATCATATCATATTTTTATCCTATTTTATATTTTATCGCGTCTTTTTCATATTCTACGTTCAAACAGATCCTAAGAGTTTACTTACGACACTTTTTGAGAATCAAAATTATTGATAATCACTTAATTTAAAACTGTATTGAATAAGTGTGGCGCCGTAACTCAATATTAGGCGCCCATGAACATAAAGGTTTGCACTCTCCCAACAGAACCACTATGAAATACATTTTGTTTTGGTCTGACTCTTTGGAGCTGGTCTTTTGTACTCATAATTAATTCAATGTTTGTGCTTTAGTCTCAATATCCACTTTAACAAAGATAACATCATACCACTTCCCCATTCTTTTTTATTCTAGACTTAATTCTGGGAATTTTGCCTCTTAACTCAAATTTCTCAAGAAGCTACAAAGATTTAATTGTCAACTGTTGGATTGTTCAAATTGTATGTTGGTCCAATGTATATTCTCAACAAAAAGCTTCAGTTGTTAAAGTCCAAGCTCAAATTTTTGAATCATGAGGGTTTTGGTAACAATCTACAACAACCTCATTCAATAAAATTCATATTCTACAAAAAAAAAAAACATTTAGCTTCGGTCGTGTCGTGAAGGGGATTTAACCTCAATTTAACATACGAGATAACGAATGACGTTATAAAAATTTGTCACTTTATTCCTCGATTTTGGAACAATGAGGGGTAAAACATTTTGCACATGAGTTTGATCCTCATCAACTACTTTTTTATTATTTTCAAAACTGGTTAGCACGTCCCATATTTTCTATCGGTTATCAGAAAAACCAGGTAATAAAGAAGTCTTATTGCCTTGGTTTATAATATTAACCGTGGGAAAATCATTGTTATGTAATTTTTTTTTATATTTTGCTTTGAACCTGTATTAGAGAATCTTATTTTAACCATTTCTAAAACTGAAACACAATGACTTTTGTCCATTTTTCAAATAAAAACATTGTATAAAAAATATTTACTTTTACACCATTTGCAAAGTCAAAAAGGCACACACAGGACACACAGTATAATTTCTCAACAAATTAAAACTAAAACAATAATTATCCAACAAAAACAATGACTAAAATGCAAAATTTTGTAGGTCGTCTAAATATTCTCTTATGTGATTTCTCATCGGTCGTTAAACACTTATAATTTGAACAACATTTAAAACCAATTAGGATCATCAACAACAACAACAACATAAAAAGAATATAAAAAGAAAAATGAATAAATATATACTACTAAGTGATATAAAACATTTACTTACTAGTTTTCTCATATCTCTTGAGGATCATGACGAATAACATGCATATCATCTGAATCATTTTATTCAGATGAGATATATGCATGTGTTGCAAAAAAAGAGAGCTTAAAA